TTTCCACCATTGTCTCTGCTTACATCCTTCTTTTTACTAGGTTCAAGTTGCTTCTTCCCAAAGGATAACTCTTTGGGATTAGTTTTCTTTCAGTGAGGATCTATGAATGGTGTTTCCTGTTTATATTTTCTGAAAATGTGTTTGATTTTGTTTGTTGTATGATAGTTGATCGTGGTATAAAATCCAAGATGACTGTCATTTCCCTTACCACTTTGTAGGGGCTAGTCCATTGTCATCTGACTCTGTTTTCATCATAAGAGTCTGCTGTCAATCTAACAGTTTTCCTGTTTTGGCCATTTGTCTTTTCCTCTGACTGCTTTTAGGATTACCTCTTTGTTTGGTAGAGGCTATTTACTTTACTCAAGACTTATGCCTCTTGAATTTGAGGATTTATGTCTTTCATTGATTCTTAAAAACTATTAGTAATTTTCTTTAAAAAAAATACAGTGGTCCCTTGGTTCACAAACTTACTTTGTTCCATAATTCTGGGGAAGATAGCCATGGTCATATTTGTTACCTGATATGGAGTTCACCAACGGAAGCAAAATTTTGACAAATGCTTCTGTTGGGAACTGAAGTATTACTGTGTTTCATTTCTCCTAATTTCCTCATCACTTTCTAGATGAGAACATCTGATTAGATAGATGTGTAAGTGTTGTCCTTCATTCTGGGTACTCTCTCTGTGTAGCTTTGGTTTAACTATGGCTGGCCCTCTGTATTTGTGAGTTTAACATAAAATGGTATTACATCCATTTAAAAATGGCATTTGTACTGAACATGTAAAGACTTTTTTCTTGTCATTATTCCTTAAATAATACTGTGTAAGAACTATTTCTATAGCACTTACATTGTATTAGATAAGTAATTTAGAGATGATAAAATAACCAGGAGGATATACATGGGTTACGTACAGTATTATGCCATTTAATATAATGGACTTGAACATCTGAGGATCTTTTTGCCCATGTGAGAGTTCAGCTATGGAAGAACTCCCCTATGGCTACTAATAGATAACTCTAATTGTTTCTGGCTATGTCTGGTCCTATTGGTCAGCCATTCCATTAATTAATTAGAACATTTAGGTTTAACCATTTTTTTCCAATGGCTGTACCTTTATTTTAGAAATTCTTTTGGTTTCTTTTTCAAATGTTACTTTGATTTTTTTTTACAGTATCTTGGTTTTTCCTAAGTTTGGATTTCTATTGACTCTGTTTTTTGTATTCTCTTTGGGAATATCTTTATACGAATTCAAGTTCTTGTATTCTTATCCCACTGTTGTGTTCTCATGAACGTTTGATTGTCTCTTTGTAGTTTTGCCATGTGTAATTGTGTTTGTGTTGAGCAGGGATTGCGCTCTCCATCGTGGGATGGCTCCTCCTGCTTTTAAGTTTGCTTCAGCCCGAAACGTCAAGCGCTGTCGTTGGTCTTGGTCCAATTTTTATGTTAATTTATCAGCTCTGTAGATAACGTAAACTTGAATGACAAACCTGCAAGAGCTAAGAGCTGCACTTTTGAATTCTGGAGGAGGATCTCATTTTTCCATAGCCATCATCCAGTGCCCAGCCTGAGATGGACAAGGTTTTGTCCTCTGGCAGCTGTGCAATAAGGTCATTAGATCTCTGTTCTGATCATGCCAGTGGGCTGCAGAGTACAAGTGACCCCAGCTCTGGCTGTGAACCCCTTTAGGAAATACCTCATTTTTTCATGTTCTTGGTGAGTGCCAAGGACTAGAGGCAGGGCCCAGCACCCAAATCATTTTATAGCTATGAAGGAATAAAGGTTTCTTTATGATTTGTAGGTATATTAACTAATTTTATTTTTTTGAGACAGGGTCCACTATGTTGGTCAGGGTGGCCTTGAAATCACTAGTCCAGGCTGGCTTCAAACTCAGTGATCCTCCTGTCTCAGCCTACCAAATGCTGGTATTACAGGTGTATGCCAGTGTGCCTGTCTATTGCCAGATTTTCCCCTCTTCCTCTCCTTCTCCCTCTCTTTTGTTTTTTTTTGAGGGAGGGTCTTCCTGTGTAATCCAGGCTGGCCTAGAACTCTCAGCAATCCTCCTGCCTCAGTCTCCTGAGTTCTGAGATTATTGGCATGTGCCACCACATCTGGCAGGCCTCATCTCTTTTTCTTTTTCTTTCTTTCGTCTTTCTTTTCTTCTTTTCCTTTCCTTTCCTTTTCTTCTCTTCTCTTTTCTTTTCTTTTCCTTTCCTTTCCTTTCCTTTCCTCCCCTCCCCCTCCTCCCCCCCCCTTCCTCTCTCTCTCTCTTTCCTTCCATCTTTCTCTCTCTCTCTCTTTCCTTCCTTTTTTGTTTTTTTGAGACAGGGCCTCACTATGTAGTTCAGGCTGGCCTTGAACTTGTGATCCTCCTGCCTCAGCCTACTGAGTGCTAGGGTTACAAGTATGTACCACCATGTCCTGCATGCCTCATCTTTAAACAGACAACTTTTATACATACACACACACACACACACGCACACACACACACACACACAAAGGGAGGGGAAAATAAGATGACAGAGTCTGAGCAGGGGTCTGTGGGAAAAGCAAGGAATGCAGGGTGATGCTTTGAAGGGGAAGTAGTTGCCAGATGGATAGGATACAGAGCACACTGCAGAGGGAACAGCGCAAGTACAGGGAACAGCATGGTGCTCAGGGAAGGGGAGCTGCATGTGGAGTGAGAGTGGAAAACAACAGAAGCCCCGTGCGAGGGGTTGATGTGCCGTGCTGACGTTTGGGTTTAAACTCATGATGATGGGAGTCGTTGGAGACTTCCCGGTCAGAAAGGTCACCGGGGCCAGGGTCAGGCCCACAGGCTTTAGCAAACCTCCTGGGAACTGGAAGGCTGACAGCTAAAGGACAGAGAAAATGAATCACTTCCGAGTGGCCAGGACCATCTCCAAAGATCAGGAGCTGCTGAAATGGCTCGAGCACAGCTTGATCCATCTTCTCTTCAACCTGTGTGTGAATGTGACGATGACGGTGCTGCCACCTGACCACAGGAAGGGGGAGAGGGAAGGGCCATCTTCGGAAGTGTCAGGAAAAAGAGAACAAACCTGTGAGAGGACGCAGGTGCAGAGGGAGGGAAGAGGAGCTGGGCAGCCGGTGAGCACCTTCCGATGGGTGCAGAGGGTGGCCGAGACGAAGGAGTGGCTGGGAGTGATTGGCCTCAGATGTCTTCATTTTGGCACCAGTTATCTTGGCGTGACAACATATATCCGTGTTCCAGGAAGTATCTGGCCTGGCCTTGGAGCAGTGACAGAGCTGCTCTGAGATGTGGGGAATGAGGTAAGCTGGAAAGTGGCCCCAACATCAAATCCTAGAACCTGTGAATCTGCTGCTTGCACAGCAGAAGAGACTCTGCAGATGGGGCTAAATTAGACCTTGAGGGCTGGAGATGGTCTCAGCACTAGAGGTTGGTTGATATGCACAAGGTCTGGTTTCTCCCAGCACTGCAGGGGAGGAAAAAGGAAAATTCAGATCTGAAGAGGGACAGATTATCCTGGTGTGGTCAGTGTAATTGAAAGGCTTTTTACGAGAGGGAGGCAAGAAGGTCATTGTCAGAAAAAGATGTGCTGATGACAGAACCTGAGTTTGGAGCATTTTCCTTCGGAGGAAGGGGCCATAAGCCAAGGGGTACAAGCAGCTTCCAGAAGTTAGGAATGGAAAGTAGACCAATTCTCCCTGTGCCCACAGCAGGAGTGCAGCCTCACTGACTCCATAAGCATAGCTCCTGAAGACTCTCTAGACTTCTGGCCTCCAGGACTATAGGACCACTTTGCATCAGTTAAGCTACTTACGCATGTGGCAACTTATTAAAGGCAGCAGCAGATGAACCTAGAGAGGAACAACTGTGCTCGCATCCTTGTGATAGACCAAGAGTTCCTGGAAGTTGGTGGGCCAGTGGTGACTCCTTCCATGGCTGGGTTTGGTCTCTCTGGTGTCCCACCTACTTCTGGGTGTCCCAAGCTGACTTCAACACCTCTGACCCAAGCCTGCTTCTCTTACACTCTGTTATCACCTGAACCCAAGGCTGAGGAGTCCTCCATGTAGCAAACCATGGTCAGGGCTCAGGTCATGACCTTCTGATCCCCGCGTGGAGGAGGAACTGTGAATCCGCAGCCCCAGAGGTGGCTCCCGCTGGCCTCCAACCCCTGGACATGTCTAGTGGGGGAGAAGGACCAGCACAGGGGAGGGCGTGGGCTGGTGAGGAGTGCAACTCTTTCCCCATTTCTGTGGCAGGCCTGGAGGAGCTGCCACCACCTCCCACGCGTATGTCCTCCATAGTAATAATTAAGGCAGATTTTACAATTTTCTTAAAAAGAGTATGACCAGGCCAGGCATGGTGGTGCATGCCTGTAATCCCAGTACTCTGAGAAGCTGCAAGATTGCAAGTTTGAACCCAGCCTGGGCAACACATGACATAGTGAGAATCTGTCTCAAAATAAAAAACAGAAAAAGGGCTGGGGATGTAGCTCAATGTGAAAGCCCTGGCTTTAATCCTATGTACCACAAATACAAACCAAACCAAACCACCAAAACAAAAAAGACCAAAGCCTTGAGACATAGTGTTAATAATTATCAACCCTGGTAGCTGGGGACACGGTTAGCCTGCCAGATACACTGGGCTCCAAGATCAGGATGAGAGCTACGGGCATCACCTGACTTCTGTCCAGCCAAGAAAAGGATGTGAGGACGAAATATCTGACATCCATTCTTCTTCGACATTCTGCAGATCTTCCAGACTCTCTCACCTTCATGTGTAGCATCTCAAACTAAGTGACAAACACCGCACGTATACTCTGATGCAAACTGACCTGAGGTGCTTTGATTCTTCCTGCTAAGGCCAACTTATCCCCCAGGAATCTTTCATCCACTCCTTGTTCCCTAGGACAGTCATCCCTCTGGGTCTACGGCGACCAAGCACAGGAAGGCACTGAGGAAGGGACCAGAGGGCCCATGGAGGGGTGTTAGAAGCATCAGTGACAGAGACACAGGTCTAAGAATGGGACCCACCAAATTGCCTTGGGTGCTGGTTAGGTTTTATTTTAACAGGATGTTTTCTGTTCATTTGTTTTTCAAAATATCAGTTATATCAATATTAGAAGTGTAAACAGGTACAAAATATACAGTACATAGAAACAGTTTGCTTAACTAGTCTATTCCTAATAAAAGTACGCAGGAGGGAGCTGGATGAATGGGCACCACGGTCTCTCCGGCCGCAGGGCGACAGGAGGACCGGTGGCTACTTCAACAGAATGCGAATGGATGTGTGTGTGTGGCGGGGCAGCACTGTGGTGGACAAGAAACCCGGGCCCCAGCCTAATTCCACCTCGCAGATACTCGAAGAGGTCGCAGCGAGCTACTTACCTATGACCGGCCTCAGGACGCCACGCACACCAGGCGGCCACTGTCCGCCCCGGAGCTGTGCACTCGCAAGTTCCTCTGGGGCCCGATCGTCACACTCGCGGGGCAGGACAAATGCTTTCAGAAGCAAAGCCTGAAAGCTTTTCTCCCCTAAGCTGATGTTCTGGAGGAGCAGCCCAGTCCCAAGCTGCTCTCTCGGCTCCTGGTACACGCCGCGCCTGGGCGAGGCTGAGCTGTGTCCACTTGGAGCCCTCACCTCGCCATCCCGAGGAGACCCGTCCTCTGCTTCCCAGTCACGGCACTGAGCAAAGGAGATGCAGCGTGGACGGGACGCACTGTGAGCGTGAGAGCACGACAAACGGCAGCACGCAGAAGCACTGGGGCGTGGGCCAGTGGACTGTGTCCCTGGCGCTACGGAACCCAGACAGCCCCAGCTTCCTTACCTGCCAGACCTAATGCTACAAGGCCACGGGGGCCCCGAGGCACCTTCAGGCTCCTGGGCGCGGGTGCCGCAGATGGCCCCAACGCGGGAGCAGTCAGGCCAAGGTTCTGGGGACAGCTGACCCTGCAATGGCTGCTCCTAGGTGGGTCCCGCCTGCAGGACTGGACCGGCGTGGGAACACAGTGGACACTTAGTTCCCATGGGGCTGTGTTCTAGGCACCGTCCTTTGGAGTCAGCGCGGCGGGGTGCCCAGGGCCCCCTTACCTCCTGTCCCCCACACTCACCATGAGACGCCACAGACAGGGAGCACACACCCTGGAAACCAGAGGCACACTACAGAACTTCAGCTGCTGCTGCTACTCTTTTCTAGCCTTTTCCTCAAGAATTAAAAGAACAAAAAAACCGGGTATGCAATTAAATTACTTAAATTCTACCATGGTGTTCAGTTTCAGAGAATCCTGCTTCGGGGATGGAAGCGTACTGTCTGAGTTCTCTTTTTCCAGTGATCAGCTCCGCAATGTGGACGTTTGGTTCTCTCCCTTTCTGCCTCCGCGCCTTCAAAGCCACGTGCTGTCTGCACGCTGGCTCTGCACATCTGCAGCCAGCAGGGGCCGGGGGTGAGGCTCACAGGTCCCCTCCATCCGCGGGTCCCAGCACGCTTAGGCCACAAGTCCAGTCGGTCACGAGGTCTGTGGGGGCCAGGGGTGCCTTGGCGGCAGGGCTCTTGAAGGGGTCGGGGGGTGCAGCCGGCACGGGGGGCAGGGGCTGCCCGCGGGCCGGCGTCTTGGCGCCCGCGGCGTGGTTGCGCTGGTGCTTGCGCAGGTGGTCCTTGCGGATGAAGCTCTTGCCACACACGGTGCAGGTGAAGGGCCGCACGCCCGTGTGCGTGCGGTAGTGGTCGATGAGCTTGGAGCGCTCGGTGAAGCGCTTCTCGCACTCGGTGCAGGGGAAGGGCCGCTCGCCCGTGTGCAGCATACGGTGGCGGATGAGGTGCGCGGGCCTGGTGAAGCAGCGGCCGCACTCTCCGCACCGCAGGGCGCTGCTGTCCCGAGCGCTGCTGCTGCTTCCGCTGCCACCCACGCCGCCGCCGCCCCCTGTGGCCGTGGCCACTGCGGGGGCCGCACCAGTGCCCGCACCGTCGGGCGGCCCGCAGCTGCGCTGGTGTGCACTCAGGCTCACCTGCAGCTGGAAACTCTTCCCGCACGTGGCGCAGGTGAAGGGCCGGCCCCCGGGCGGTGCTGCTGGGTGCTTCTTCAGCCCCGGCTTGTGGCCGAAGCCTTTGGTCCGGCCTGGATATTTGCAGGGCTCAGGAAAGGGCCTTGGGGCCTGGCTGGGGTCCAGGATGCCCTCCCCGCTGTCCGGCGAGGAGAAGGGCAACCCCTCGGGCCCGGTCCTTGGGTTCAGGCCCACTGGAGGCTTACAGCGGAAGTTCCAGCCCCACCGGACCCCACCGAAGAGCCAGTCCCCAGCAGGGGGTGTCTCCTCCTGGGCCACGGCAGGGCTGAGGTCGCCCAGGTCCCTCTCTGGCCGGGCCGGCTCGCGCAGCCCCAGCACCGGGTCCTGACTGGGGAAGGAGCTGCCCTGGCTCTCCCACGCCCCCTCCTGGACAGGGCTGGGGAAAAATCTTGCAGCCTGGCCGGGCGCAAACAGGGTCCCGTGCGCCTCCAGGTCTGTGGGATGCACAGGCGTGGCCACCACCTCCTCTTCCTGGACTTCTGTTTTGATCACGATTTTTACATCTGCTGAGAGAGAAAGGCAGGTATCATTCTGGCTCTTCCCTCCGCTGGAACTAAGAAGCACGGCTGCTGCTTGGCCCCACGGGCACCAGGCAGGGCCCTCACGGCCAAGCCTCAGGGCCACGGCTCCGGGGAGTCCCCCGGCCTTTGAGGCTGCAACAGACCCTAAGCATACCCAAGATCCGCCCCAGGCCCAGTTGCACTTTGGCTGTGAAGGCTAATCATGGATTCACCCCGAGTAAGATTCTGGCTGCAGGTGGCCAGGTGCCCAGAGGGCAAACGTACAGACTCGGGTTCAGAGGAATCTGAGACTGTGCCACAGCTCTGCCACGGCCAAGCTCTGGGCATCAGCACCCTGCCTCCAGCAGTTCACGTGCAAACCGCTCTGAGGCTGCGGAGGAGTCACCAGCTGACCTTCCAGAAGCACCTTTTCCTCCCACGTGGTATGCAGCAGGCACTCGACAGAGGCAGCTACCTCGCTCGTGCAGTATTAGTGCAGGAGGAGACTGTATTTGCGTTCACGCAGATGTGCTTTATTTCCTGCCCCAAGGTTTTAGGTCAGAGTTCTCAGCTTTAAGCACATCTGGGGGGGGGTGCTAAAGTAAGAAATTATTACTTTAGCAAATAACTGGCCTCCAAAACCTAATTAAAGGGAAAACTCATACATGAATTTGGTAGCTGTTCTTTAAAATTCTGCCCTTCAGACACTGTCTCTGGTAGCAACAATGTCTGCGAGGTACTGTGCCTTTGCTTCACTGTTGGTTCTGGGAGGAGGCCTTGCCTTCCAGCACCAGCTTATCAGAGCACACTGCAGCTGCACACATGGATGCTCTCAAGAGAGGCAGCGCAGCGCTGGGGATTTGGAAGGAGCCAGAGAACAGAATGTACGGAGTCATGAGAGCAGACGCCCAAGCGCTCTTGGCAGAAAGGTCAGGGTGGTCTCCAGTAAACAGGGCTCCCAGGCTGTGGCGCCCACCCTCCTCGCCTGCCACCTCGCTACCTTCTGTGGAGGCTGCCGTGTTGAGCTTCAGGGTTCCGTCTGAGCATGCTGAGGACGGGTGGTGGGGCGGGAGCTCTGCCTGCCAGGAAGTGGGTGGGATGGTGGTTGAAAAATTGGAATGGACGCCTGCAACGAGGAGAGACCAGAGCGCGTGGGTCAAGGAAAGGAGATGAGCAGAAGAAAACCACGAGAGGGGCTGGCAGCGAAACCCCAGAGCCCCCCGGACCTTTCCAAATGAGCACGACAACCTGGCATCTCTGAGGCCAGTGTCTTTCACCCCGTCTCGGAAGCACTAGAACACTAGAGTGTCACGGTCTTGTCCTCACGGCCCTCAACCAACAGGTGGCAGCTGGCGAAGTCACAGCGTGAGGCTGGAGGCAGGAAGAACAGGCGCGTGTCTGGGCAAGGGCCCGTACCGGTTGGACCAGAGGACCCCCCAGAAACAGTGTCTCTTGTCCCCGGGACCGCGAGGTGCTGTCTGGTACAGCCCCTGCCCACAGCTCCTCTCCTGCTCCGGGGAGCTTTCCTTGTTCCCTGCCATGGGCCCCGTACCTCGAAGCCACTCACCAGAGGTGGCATCTGTGGAGATGTCTCCTGCTCCCGAGTCCAGCTGGCTGAGGCCCCAGGGCTCCTCTCCCACGTCTGGTTGCCCGGCGGCCCAGGCCTCCACGCCCAGTGCCTGCTGCTCCTGCAGCTGCAGCTCCCCTTCCTGCTTGATCTGCATCAGGAGGTCGGGGGCAGGAACTGGCGGCCCTGACCCTGGGAAGGGAGAGCGCGTGAGCCCTTGGCTCCGGGCTGGATGCACAGCCGGCCAAGGAGACGGACCCTGGCCGCGTGAGGGCCCAACAGTAGAAGAGCCTGGAGGGAAGGCAAGGTGGCAGCAAACAGGGACTCCAGGGCCTCTGGGCAGAGGACATGTTCACATGGTATTGGATGCCTGGGCAGGGTGCGGGGAGTGAGGTCCCAGGGCTAGGGTTGGGCCCTAGAGAAGTCCAAGCTGCCTGAGGGAGTACTGTTCTCACTTTGAACACTGATGCCAGATGAAACTGGAACCCCAAGCACCCTCAGACCTACAACCTTACGCATAAGAATCTCAGTGAGCTCAAAGGAAATATTCCAGATGCAAGAATCATCAGGAGTTAGAGCAGAAGGCAAGTGACCTGCAGAGTTGTTCGAACAGGACTAGGCCTCAGGGCTGGGCCTTCCCGTCCATGTGGGCCGAGCTGCCTGCATGAAGCCGGGAGCCATGCAGCTCTGTCCTGTCTGTGAGACGGGGTCCAGGAGAACTCCATCCACCCAAGGGAGTGACCAGGGAGCTGCCCACTTGTCCAGGGCTACGCACAGGAAAGTGACCTAAAAGAAACCAGAGCCCCGTGTCCACGTGGAACCCACACAGCACAGGCCTCTAGGCTGACACACTCACTGAAAACCCAGCTGGGAGCCAGGGCAACTCAGGAGGCCCCAGCACAGGGCAGTGCAAACCTGCCCCTCCCACCCCTGGGTATCCCTACCATGCAGGCCACAGGGGCTTCCTCCAAACTAAAGCCAGGCTAAAGCCAGAGGAAAATTAAAATTTATCAACTAAAAGAGGAGCCAAACTGCAATGGGAGTCAAAGAAGACTTTATTCCCAAGAACTACAGGACACAGTTCCAGTGATGCAGGACAGGCCGAGTGATGCAATGGCAGGTAGTCTAAAATCGTCAAAGAAACAAAAGGAACAGAAACTCCAAAGCAAGAACAGTAAATTATTTTTAAAAAGGCAGATTTGAGAAAGAACTCAATAGACTGGAAATGATGTAAGTAACTATGGAAATGAGAAAATTAAATTGCTTAGTAGACTAACCCAGCTAAAGAGAAGATTAGTGACTGAGAAGATAGATCTGGAGAGTAAGGCACTGAGACATAAAAAATGGAAAATTTAAAGAAGAGTCAAGAGCCACGCAGGAGAAAATGGGAGTCCTAACATATGCTGATAGAAATCCCAGAAGCGGAGAATAGAGAAAAGGGTAACTGGCAATAGGTTAAAAAGTAATGGCTGAGAACCTGTCAAAATTGAAGGGATATACCAATTTGCAAGCAGGAAATAAAAATAAGGCCATCGGAAGATAAAAGAGTATCTCTAAAATGCTAGACTGGCAAGTGCAAGGTCGAGTTTGATTCTCAGTACCAAAGGAAAAAAAAAGCTAGAGAAGCTATGTGTCAACTTATTTTACAAGGCTGTTATAATTTTGGTTGCACAAACTAGAGGACAGTTTATGAAAAATGTACAAAATAATCTCATTTATGAATATACATGCAAAGATTCTAAGTTAAAGAATTACAAATTGAACCTAGCAATGTATTTCCAAAAAGGGAAAAAGAGATATTATGAACATTAGGTTTATCCCGAGAACTCAAGGATAAGACCACTCTGGAGAGCATAGTAATATAACTCACAGGCTTACCAGATTAATGGCAAAGACAGTATCATCATTTTAAAAGATGTAGAAGTAGCTTTCTACTCCTCTACTTCTGGCATACAGCTGACTGAATGTGCAGAGACACCATCCAGGAAGGAGCATGTGAAAGCGCTGGGCACAGTATAAAAATAAAAGGCACTTTAAGCATGGATGCTCTACAAATAAAGTAAGGAAAGCAGAGGCCAGAAACGCTAAGAATGCCGAATCTCTGATGGTATGTGGGAGGACATCCCATCTCCCGCTCCACAGGTAGCATGCACACCACCGGGGAGGAGGAATGAAAAGCCGGGGGCCAGGCAGGCAGGAGGCTGTGATGCAGATGGTTTTCGACCCTATGTAAACCAGGGACAGCAGGGACAACATTCCCAGCGGACTAAACTCATAACCCAAAGCAAGAGCTGTGTATGGAAGCAGGCTGCCTTGCCTGGCCTTGGCCCTAGGCTGAACAGGGAGAGGAACACTCTCTCCAGGCAGATGACACCCACAGGCCAGCACGCCAGGATGTCTGGTGCCAGGCCTCATAGAGCCAATGTGGGCAAGACTGCAGGTGGTGGAGCCCTGGGTCTGTAAGAGCACCAGGTACCTAGCAGAGGTGCATACATGCTCAGTGTCGGGGGAACAAGCTACAAGCTTCCGGATGATGATGTGCTGTGCTCACAACTGCAAATGGCTGAGTCCCTTGGAAAACCAGCTACCTCCAACAGTCAGCAGGCAGACTGTAAACTGCAGAATATGATCCACAAATCCTCTGCACAGTGGAATATTCCATAGAGAATACAGATATTCTTTGTTTAATGACTCTCCTATTTAATGCTCCTTAGACTTAGGATCTGTTTTTTTTTTTTTTTTTTTTTTTTTGTACAGTTCTGTACATCTGGTTGATTGAACCTCAATCTGTTTTGTACAGCAAACCTTGTGTATAGTGCTGTAATTTTTACTGATTGTCCTGTACTGTACAGTACTGTAGTTTTATGCTGTTATATATTATAGTAGTGCATGTAAAAGTCACGCAAACAAAAGCAGTCATCAATTTGTAATTTTCTTTGACCATTTCTTTATTTTGACTATTGCAATGTACATACTTATGTCCAATTCCTCACTTAATGAACAATTCATTTAATGACCTGGTCACAGGACTGTAGTTTGGTCATCAAATGAGGAATATTTGTGTAACATTTAATATACTTAGAGAAATAAAATGGGGAACATTTGAGAAGTAAGAGATTATCAAAGCTGCCCAAATTTTGAATACACTTTTAGAACTATAAGATGAAGTAAATGAAATTCAAAACTCCAGTCTGTGGTTAAACATCAGAGTGGAAAGAAATGAACAGAGAATGGTGAATTAACTAAAAGATCAAGAGAAATTATTCAGACCTCAGCACAGAGACAGAGCTGAAAAATACATAAAGAGGGGTTCAAGGTTATTGGGGCTGTAAAAACATTCCCAAATAAATGATTAAAGAGAAAGGGGCAAAGCAACCAAAGAGAAAACACCGCCCATTTCCCCAAACTGGTGGAAAATGTGAGCGATAAAGGAGAAAGAAGCAGCCGTAAAATTGCCAATCCCAAAGACAGCCCTAGGAGCAGGCAGAGGATAAGGCAGATTATCCATGAAAGAGTGCCGAGCAGACTGCTGGCCCACTTCAACGATCAGGAAAAAGGGTAAATTACCCTCCAAAGCTAAGGGAAAATAACAAACTAGAGTTCTCCTTTGCAAATGTAGGGATGGAATAAAGGTATTTTCAGACACAAATAAACTCATGTAATATAAACTCATTACCATCAGGCCCACAAGTAACTTCTAAAGCAGGCACCGCCAACTCTCGGCTCACGGGCTGCTTGCGGCCCTGGGCAGCCAGTCATGTGGCCGCTGACGACAGTAAACCTTTAACACTGTTACGGGCGTTTCGCTGATACTTTTCACAAACGGACTGCGCATGCTTGAGCGCCAACTTGCTAGCAGACACCCGGATGCTCCGTAGGGACGGGTGCGGCGCAGCGCGAACTCTGCCTCTCGTGACCCCCAGTTACAACCCCGCAGTCAAACCTACCTCGAGTGTCTCAGATGTCACAAACACACGTGCAACTTGGGACGTGTGACTTCGTGATTACCAACAACTGCACCTCAAGTCACCTACACGTGTGTGAAAATGGGCAACTGTTACTAAGCAGATGTGTAAGTTTTCTACTTGGTGTTGTATTATTCTGTAAAAGAATACATTAGAATATGAAAAAAGGAAGTTATGCTACACTGACTATATATTTTATATGGGGCCCAAGATGATTTCTTTATTCAGTGTGGTCTAGGTTAGCCAAAAGGTTGGATTTCCATACTCTAAGGGAAGAAAAACAATTAAGCGTCCACTACAAGAATAGAACACCCCCCCCCTCCCGCCTCTTTCTTTGTCTTTTTGAGGCAGGGTCTTGCTATGCAGTTTAGGCTGGCCTTGAGTACTCTGTAGACCAGGCTGGTCTGAACTCACAACAATCCTTCTGCCTCAGCCTGCCGAGTGCTGGGATTACAGGCGTGCATCACCATGCCCGGCTAAAACTTTCAAACTAATTAAAATAACCATAGTTTGAAGAAGAAAAAAAACTCTAAATGAATCATCACCAAAGGAAAAGTGGGGGGTAAAAGAAGACAAAAAAGGCCAGAGTAAGGACTACCTGCACATGAAGATGGCAGCAAAGGACCAAACACACGAGAGACCATGATCAGTGAGGTGTGGGCCAGCGAGTTCCAGCAAGACAGACAGCGAGGCTCACACCCCTCCCTGTGTGTTCCAGCGGCCACGTCGTGAAGTGTGAAGAAACACGTGAAACAGATGTTAAGGGTTCACTTACCAAATACTCCCAGCATTATTTCAATGAAGAGTCAATATAAAATAAAGTAATTTGCATATATGTATTTCACACATGCATCTTTCACACATACATTTTTGGTTTTTGGTATACAGTGTTCAAAATCTGGTCTGTTCTTTATCCTCACAGCAGATTTCAAGTGCTCAAGTGCTACTTGTGGTTAGTGGCTAATGTCATGGACATTTAAATGGTGAAGATGATCAGACTGAAAACAAGCAAGATCCAGCAACACTGCTGTTAATAAAAGATATACACACCTACAACAGAAGGACGGAGGACAAAGAATAAAAGATTTATTAAGTCAGAATTAACAATTTAAAAAATGATGTACCTGCACCATATCAGAACACATTTTAAAAATTTAGTGACTCAGGCCAGGCATGGTGGTGCACTTCTGTAATCCCAGCACTTGGGAGACTGAGGGAGGAGGACTG